ATTTTGGGTTTGATGTAAGAAGGGTTTTAATGTAATTTATGTTAGATTTTGCATTTTTTTCAGTACTGTTATACTTTAACCTTACTGAATGACTGATCTAATTGTATTAGTATTGTGAATATCATGTGGAGTGTTTTGAGACAGAGTACTATATTTGTGAATATAATTTTATGGCTTTTTTTTCACTTAGCAAGAACCTTTCTGTGCGGAAAACTAAGAAAATTGCTTTCTGCTGTATAATCTGGCATTCATTGTAGATTAAAGCTTATTTTTCTGTGAATAAAACTTATTCAATAAAATATTATTCTTTAAATTGAAAAAAATTATGTCAAGAAATAAATGTTTTGGTACATTATCTTATTTGTAAATGATTGAAATATTCAATGAATATCCATTATTTAATTTAACTTCGTATAACTTCAGATGTGTAAGTTACCAAAGAGATTTGGGAAATCTTTTTTTTTAAGTAGGCGTTATAGAAACATAATTATTGTGAATAGTTTATTTATAAACTATTATCCTACATATATTTAATTCTTTTTTTAAACAATATTGACTGGATTGCTCATAAAAATGAGACATTAAACAACTAGTTATCATCTTTAGTTTTCTTGCTAATAATTTTATAATGTAAGAGACAACATCAGTTTATTTTACTTGTAAACTTAAGTAGGAAAAATTGTGTGTCATATTATATTTAATGCTGACAACTCTAAAGACATGCCTATATTCATCAAACTTAACAAAACTTGAACTAGCGTTTATTTACTGAAGATTATCCTAGATTACATGAACTTGAAAACCATCTTAGGTTAATTTCTTTTTTTTTTTTTTTTTTTTTTTTTTTGAGCGGAGTCTTGCTCTGTCGCCGGGCTGGAATGCAGTGGCCGGTCTCAGCTCACCTCAAGCTCACTGCAAGCTCCGTCTCCCGGGTTTACGCCATTCTCCTGCCTCAGCCTACCGAGTAGCGCCGGCCACCTCGCTCGGCTAGTTTTTTGTATTTTTTAGTAGAGACGGGGTTTCACCGTGTTAGCCAGGATGGAGGTTAATTTCTATCTTTCTAAGAGTTTAAGGAATGCTTAATATTTATCAATACTTATTTTTCTTTAAGCCAACTAAATAGAGCTCTTTTACGATTTAGTTTTGGTGATAACATCCAGAGGTGGAAAATGTATCATGTATACATACATAAACATGCAGATAGAAGCAGAGCTTACAGCTTTCATTCTAAAATTTTAGCCATGTGCCATGTGTAATAATAAAAGCTCATTGTTTTATTAAAGAATATCTGGGATTGATTTTTTTCTGGCCAGTGAGATAAGATCACCTGCACATATAGCTAAAGCTTTTTATTAATATTGGAAAGAAACTTATAAGCTTTCTCATTTACCTTTCAAAAGAGGTCATTTAGAGGGGCAGCTTTTGATTCATTTAGTCTTTTGGAAGCCTCTACATTTCAATAAAATATGCATCCTATTGTTTTTGAGGCATTTTAGATTCTTGTTTTTCTAATAAGGCTCAAGAATTAAAACTTTTTCGTTGTGGCCATTGTATTCCTCAGTTGTTCTTAGTAAAGTCAAACCATTTTTGTAAAACTACACAGGCTTTGGGAGTGTAATTTTTGAAGATAAGATTAGCTGGCATTTCAGAAATCGAAGTACTAGAATCCTGGAGTCCTTAAATTCAGAGGAACTTATTTTCAGAAGGTACCTACCCGAGGCCAAGTTAGTTATCAAATCCAATCTGATTCTGAACCCAATCCAGTTTTTTTTGTTTGTTTTTTTGTTTTGTTTTTTTTTTTCTTAAATTCTTAATAAAGTCAGAGAGCTCAAAAGGCAAATTTGCAGACTCAGATCTGGCAGGTGACTCACCCACAACCTCCATTTGCAGTGAGAGAACAAGGGGTACAATGGGCCAGCATGTACCTTCATTTGGTTACTGGGTGTTTCTAGGGGTCACTGAAGGTCTCCTTTGGATCCCACTTCTAATGACAAAGATTGTTAAAGACAAACTTTAGGCAAATTAAATTTAAAAGAGTTTGTTTGAGCAAAGAGCAATGCATGAATCAGAACCAGAACCAGAAGAGGTGCAGAGAGCTGTGAGCAGTGACCTTTCACAGGCTGAACACAGAAGCAAAGTAGATAAATTATTTGATTGGCTATAGCTAAGCATTTGACACATTTGGACATGGTTAAATCAGTTAGCTGCTTATGGGTGGCTAAAGCTTTATTGTTTGTGATTGGCCAAAACCTGGCTGTTACAAAAATTATACCTCTAAATTAGGTTACAATTTATTACGTAGGAACCGAAAGTATGGAAACAGCCCAAAGCTAATGGCCTCCTACTTATTTAATTTAACACAAAGTTTGTCAGCAGATGGAGAGCAAGTAAATTGTGGAAAAGATGCCAACTATACCCTCATTCCTGACAAGAGTATGTTCTGTCTACAGGACAACTAACCAACAGAACTAGATATTTTTAATTACACATGAGACTGGACTTTTAAATTACTAAACTGAGGATATGTTTGTAATTTTGATTGGCTGTTGTTAATTTTACTGGAAAGGAATCAGAAAAGCCAAGGGACTACCTGCAATTTGATGCAAAGGCAGGGGAAGAATTGCCACACAATTCTTAGACTGGTAAGATTTAAAATGAAAATCAAAAGCTAAAATTAAAGTTGTGTTGCTTTGTCATTGTCCCCATGAGTGAGGCATCTTTAGTAATAGCTATACACACAGAGTCTGTTATGCCTTCCTAAGATCTTTGAATGAGATTTTTGCTACAGAAATTCATGTCTAACTCACTGTTCCACATTTGTAGTCAGTTTCCTTCTTTGATAGAAGAATCGAGGACTATTGTATAAAGTGTGGCTAATTGTAAACCAAAAAGAATCTGAAAAGTGGTTGTTTGAATAAAGAAACACCATGCTACTTTCCAGGATAGATAAATAGCCCAAAGAATTTACCTGAGATGTATTTGATAGGAATTCAAACTCTTCTGATAATCCTAATGCTTGAACCATCAGTTGGGCAGACCATTTCTAAACTTAGTTTTAATTTATATAGACAATTACAGACAAGAAGTAAAGAATATGTGAGAATTCTAATAGATACACGTTGTCAATTAGATATGAGTTGAGTATTTGGGAGTTCATTGTTGTGATCTGTGACAGTGAACTCCCCACCAGGTTCCCTGATTTCTTAATCCACCTTTGTTGTAAAACCTACTTGCTGTCACCATACCAGTGTTATGGATGGAAATACCTTTCTGATAGTATTTCTTTGTTAAAATATCCGATTAAAAATGGTCAATGGATCCTCATTTCCAAGGAATAATATTACTCAACATTAGTATTGTGCTGAGTTAGAACGTGCTGAGTAAGACATTGTTATAAACTATTGATATAATAATTCTGGAAAGAAATTGGCTACTGTATCAGCCAGGGTTTCACTACAGAAACAGAACCACTATTATATATGTAGTATATATGACATATGTTTACACATGTATGTGATGGGTGTGCTACACATATATGTATGTGCTAACATATATGTATCTATTTTATATGCATATGTATGTAGACATATATACACAGAGAGAGAGCAAGAGACAGAGAGAGAGAGAGAAAGCAAAGCATTGACTAGCTAGACAAACCTGAAATCTGTAAGGGAGAAGACCATCAGAAAAGGGGAGGCTGAACAATCGAGGGCAGGAGCTGAAGCAGCAGTCCACAGATGGATTTTCTTCTTCAGGAAAGCCTCAGTTCTGTTCTTAAGGCCTTTCAACTGATTGGATCATACCCACCCAGATTACTGAGGATAATCTCCTTTACTTAATGTCAACTGATTAGACATGTTAGTCACATCTACAAAATACTTTTGTAACAACACCTAACTTAGTGTTTGAATAACTAGAGACTATAGCCTAGCCATGCTGGCAAACAAAACTGACCGTCACAGCAACATTATCACAAGGCTTAATAGATTCATACCACTTGATGATGGATTCTAATTCTCGAACTCTTTCCTGAAGGAAATATGAAGAATTGTGCACATTTTCTATGTGTTAGTAGTCACTCCAATTACTATAACGAAGCAAAGCTCTGTCCCAGCAGCCATAGGCACAGACAGTTTACCCAAGAAAGAATGCTAATTTGGCAAGTTAAAGCCAAAGTCATGATTGAGTCACTGAATAGTAAATTGAGATTTTGATTGAAATAGAAAAGAGTTTAAACGATGGTAAGTCTGTATACTGTTATTTACCTCTTTACACTATAACATTGTCCAAATATTCTATAGTAAGCATGTACATTTTACACTCTGAAAAACAAACATTTTTGTATATGTTTTAAATAACTGTGAGACATTTTAAAGCACGAATAAAAGCAAAAACAACTTTGTAATTAAACTACCTACAGCACTCAAAATATGACAACATAATTTCTATTTATCACAATGTTATGATTTTAGTTCAGTGCCTAACATACCACACAGTGTCTAATATTAGGGAATCCAAAGTGGATATTATAAAATTGAGCTCAAACACCTGAGATCCACTGTGGGATGAGCCAGTGATAATTAAAAGAGATAGTACAATGAAAACAACCTTTCAGTAATTATTGAAACTTAGATACAGTCTATTGCTCCTTGACGTGGTATCCACTAGGCCAAGAACAAAGAAAACCTAAGTACCAGCCTAAGCAGCTGATCTGTTCTTTGCCATTCAAAGGTATGTCTACTGTACTTAAGGCACCTCCCAAAAGAAAATAGGCCACATTTTTAAAGCATCTCTGGGCCCTCCCCACTAATCCAGAGAAAAAAATCTACCCATCATCTTACTATAGGCCTTCCTAACTTCTCCCACTGCAAGAAGAGGTCACAATTGGCCATAACTCAGGATATTCATTGAATCAGGTCGTGTATAATAATGAAAATGGCTTCCATACCTTAATTTTATGAGCTCAGTTTCCATCCTTTATTCTGACTTTCTGAACTCACCCTTAGGGTAAGACAAATCATTTAGTCTTTTGAACTTCTTTTTATATTCCATGTGTCTGGTAGAGTGGACTCAGAGCCTTTCTTGGTTCTTTCTCTCTCTCTCTCTTTTCAAAGTTATTTGGCCACGTTGATTCCAATTATGTAATTTGAAGCTGGGAGTGGAGAAGAAATGTCAGAAGTTAGAAGCTTCCGCATAGACCTAAAGCTTTAGTACTTGTTTTCCCATTCAACATTTATGAGATTGTCTACAATGTAGTATTGAATATTATCCCAAATATCAGTGAAGAGCTACTTTAATTCTACATTTTGCTATTGTGTCTTTTAAACATAGTTCTCTTAGGAAATCGAAAGGATTTAAAGTGATTGGCAAGGCAGGATTCAGATATCCCCAAATTCCTTACCCTTATTCAGCCATATTTTATTTATTGGAATGAAAATATCACTCTTTACCCCTAACAGGGCATAAAATTTGGCCCTTGTTTTTATTTTTTGTATCGCATGTACATGATACTCTGTTAAGCACACATCATTCTTGTTCTAATACTGGATAGAAAAACAGACCCTATTCCTCTGTAAATTACAGCGATTCCTATTAACTTTAATGCTTTGCTTTGTTCTAAATTTCAAACCTGAAGCTTTTCTGTGCATAATTTTGAACTTTCTGAATTACTCTTTCAGTCCCTTCTCTGTTCAAATCAAGCCCTGTTATTCAATAATGAGTCTCTTCCTGGTAGATTTTGGTGTTTACCTTCTTTATTCATCCTTGGCTTTAGTGATTTACTCAGCCAGCTCATACTGAGACCTGTGGTAGGCAGAATTATGGGACAGCCCCCGAGATTACCACTGATTCCTGATGCATACACCCTGTATAATCCCCTCCCACTGAGTGCAGGTGGGGGTAAGGGAATATGATGGACATAACGCCATGGTTATTTTGTGTCACAAGGCAAAAAAGGGATTTTGCAGTGTAATTAAGGTCCTAAGTTAATTGATTTTGAGAAAATCAAAAGTAAGATTATTCTGAGTGAGTTGGCCTAATATAGATCAATTAAAACAGGGTCTAGAGGTAAGAAAAAAACACATATACACCATGGAATACTATGCAGCCATAAAAAGGGATGAGTTCATGTCCTTTGCAGGGACATGGATGAAGCTGGAAACCATCATTCTCAGGAAGGTAACACAAGAAATGAAAAACAAACACTGCATGCTCTCACTCATAAGTGAGAGTTGAACAATGAGAACACACGGACATAGGGAGGGGAACATCACACACTGGGGCCTATCGGGGGTGGGGGTCGGGGGAGGGATAGCATTAGGAGAAATGCCTAATGTAAATGACGAGTTGATGGGTGCAGCAAACCAACACGGCGCATGTATACCTATGTAACAAACCTGCACATTGTGCACGTGTACCCCAGAACTTAAAGTACAATGAAAAATGTTTAAAAAGCATCAGAGATGCTCCCATTCACCATGGAGAAAGAGATTGCCTTGTTAAAGACAGAGCTGTGGCAGATAATGCTGGCTGACCTCTAGGAAATGGAGATCTCAGTCCTACCACAAGGAATTAAGTTCACCCAGTAATTACATGACCTCTGAAGAAGAACTCAAGCTCTAGAAAGGCATGCAGCTGAGTTAGCATCCTGATTGCAGCTTTATGAGATCCTGAGCAGAGAATCCATTTAAGTGCCTAGACTCCTGACTCATAGAAACCATGGGATAATGCATTCACATTGTTTAATGTTATTGTTTGTAATATGTTTTTACACAACAATGGAAAACAAATGTAAGTTCTCAGATTGTTGCTTTCACTAGAGACATAAGTGAAGAATGTGATACTTAAAAAAATGTAATTCCAGGATCAGCAAGGAATTATCTTGGCAACCTCAACTGCCAACAAAAGAAGAATCACCCCGCCCACACACATATACACAAACATACTCCTCCCTCTTGAAACTGCCAGTATTTCTTCTCCTCTAGGAGAGGATGGGTCTAATTTTAGACTCAGGTTCCTCCCACCCTGCATTTGAGTGATACCTGCAGACTACCCATCATGACTTTTCTCTGAATCCTGAGCTAAAACAACATTGCCCTTGGGGACTCACAGGCTCAGCTGGGGAAGTTGTTTCCATTAATTACAGTAAAAAAGAAACCTCCTGAATATGGTATTGTGAAGTTTGTTTTGAAAATCATATTCCTTTTAAAAATCATCAGTCATTATGCTTCATAGAAAAATCATTTTACTTAGGAGCAAAAACATGATTTTCTACCAGCTGAAGGGTCTCTCTACAATGAAGCTAGAAAATCATTACTTGAGCAAGACTGTTTCTACTAAAGCTAAGCTATTCTTGTATATGAGAGGGAAAATGAACAAATCACACAAATAAAGAAATAAGTCTTTGAAAGCAAGAGAGACCTTCCTTTCAGTTCATTTATATGTGTATCCTTTTCTTGTTTTGCTTATGAAATGAGAAACAATATAACTATTTGGGGGGTGTGTGTGTGTATGTGTGCGTGTGTGTAACTAATTTATCACTTCAGAATTCTAATCCTTCTCTCTGATCTGTAATTCTTCACGGTCTCTATAATAGAATCAATCAACTCAGTATGTCTTAACTATGCCATACTTTGTGATTGTCCCATTTAAAATCATTTTCGTCTCCTTGATGCTCTAGTTTCTTGATATGTGCAATGCCATATTTAAAGTTATGAAACGTATTTACTGGATAAACTCCAGTGATTTGTATAGTGATTTGTAACATGTGTTCCTGAAAGAAACGATACAGAAATAAATAGCATTATAAAAACCATATTTGGGTCCTATTCCTTATAATTGTGAAAATTCCACCTCACATAGGTCAGAGATACAGATTTGCATGCATCAGTATTTCCGTCCTCAAGGATTAGGAATTTCTGATTTTTTATTATATCCTGGTCCCAACTGAATACCAATAATAAAACAAAATTTATAGTAAAATAGCTTATCTGATTACAAATAAATAAAACTAGTCTTTTGACCAGGACCCTTGCACGGGTACGTAAGCCCCGAGTAAGCAACTTATTGAGGAGAGTGAGAGCTTATCATAGAGTCAAAAGAAACGGCAAAATTCCTTTCTTTTCTTTGCTGTTGTTTCATCAAGGAATAAAAACAAGGGCATAGTAATCCCCCATGTTAGTCACTGACCAATGAATACGTAAATAAATAAAAAACAAACATGTCCTAAAATATCATGACTCTCTTTTGCAACACCAATCATTGCTTTCAATATTTCAGAATCTCACTAGGTGTCTTAAGCCATATCTAGGGAAAAAACGTCTTAAATATGGCCAACAAAACCAAGTTTTTTAAAAAGAAAAAACACATATTACCCCTCTTCATGTTTGCCTCAGTCCCTGAATATGGATTCCAATGATTTTTCTCCCTTCTTTTTTCACACCTTGGAAGTTGCAATTTCCCAGGAAGTAAAATTGTTGACTTTCTTATTCATGTTATTTTTCCACAGTTCAGCAAAGAGTCTGATGCATAGTAGGGCCTTTATGAAAATAAATTTAGAAATATGGGACTATAAAATTAGAAAATTAATTGGATAAATCATATTAAGATAGAATTTCTATATATTTAACTAATCACTAAACTCTGCTGACCCACGTGAAGAAAGTCTTAAAAATAAAGGCAAGAATTAAGATTTTTTTTAAAAAAGGCAGAGACATCAGTGGTCACAGCCTGCAGGGGATTTAAACCCTATAGAATTAGTTTAGGAAAATCACTAAACAAATACACAAGTTAAAAACAACAATAACATTCACAACCCCTGAGAGAGGTGTAAATCAAAATCTAGAGTATATAATATATTATCTAAAATATTCCATTTTCAACCAAAATATTATAAGGCATGACAAAAAATAAGACTATGTGACCAATACACAGGAAGAAACTGTTTCTGTTTCAACAGAAACTCTCTGAGGGAACACAGATGTTGGATTGAGTAGACAAAGAAAACCAGCTATGTTCAAAAGCAAAAAGAAGCCATGCTCAAAACTAGAATCCATATATATATACACACACACATATACATACATACATATGTCCTTGCTCTTTTCTTAACTGATTAAAAAGACAATTGCATAAAACAGTTATTATAAGATTATATTATCAGGCTTATTACATAAATATGTATCTATATGGCAAGAATAAAGTTACTGAAAAAAGTTTCTATATGTTATTCCAATAGCTAGGAATGGTCATTTGTGGGCTGAATAGGGCAGTAGCAGTAGACTGAAGAAAATTTGAATAGGATAGAATATAATTAGCATAATTTTAAAATGACGTTTGAAACAATGATGCATGCATAGGTTAAAGAAAATTTCAATCAGGCTGAAAATGAGGAAGGAATATCCATTGACATAATTGGACATACTGATATTTTATTACAGATTTATTTAGATTATTTTTCAGCCTGAGAACTAACCAAAAACCAGGTCCTTGAGGAATGAGAGATAAGTAGATAAATTTCAATAAGCAGTTATCAATAAGAGTTATCTCCATCTCTCCCCATACTAGTCATTGTTATGGGAAAACACATTCAATATGCCACGCGGGTGATGAGTTGCGTACGAAGAGGAAATAAACATAAAGTATGCCAAGCTAGAGCACTAAATCAAAGTTACTCATATTTTCTTAGTACTATCTGGCATTGCTGCTGTCGATGACAATAATTCTATTTCAAATCAGTCTCAGTAAGTTTTACCTTTAATAACAGTGTAATAGCTTGATGATCAATATGAAGTAAACCTCTAAGATTTCAGATTTGGAAGAGGTTGGGAGAGTAAATGAGGAGAAAGGACAGAAAAGCAACTCAATTGACAGGTTGAGGGAAGGATTGGGGCTTCCATCTGAATACTCATCTAACCTTCACCTTTGACTTTGTTCTATTCCGTTACTCTCTACAGGTTGAATGATGACCTCATTTTTCCTCTTTTCTTCCTGGTATGAATCATTATTTGAATATCTTCTTGAACTTATGAGAACATTAAAAAATTTCAGAGCACATTTTTATTGAACCAAAAGGTAATCTTTTTCTATATTCCATACCCCATTAAGATGACCCTGGACATTTTGATGGGATGTCTGGATTTCTGGAACACACAAATCTATGTAGATAAGCCACTGGAATATAGAAGTCCTGAATCTTCTTTTGGTTTATAACTCCTCACTGCAACACAGATAGGATTTGTGTAAATTATACTATGCTATTTTTTTTAAGTTAGAGAGATTCTGGGATAGATAATTGTTACAGAACCTGGAGTTTAGACAACTAAGAAGTAGATAATGCTAGGATTAATAAAAATGGCAAGCAGTATCTCCAAGGAACCAATAATTCAAGACAACTACCTTATATTTGTGTCCTCTTGCCTCATATTAAAACTCTTTCTATTCATTTGCCATTGTTTGCTTATATGGAGAAATATTGCCATTTTGAAAGTTACTTTGGTTATCAGAAGTAGCAGAAGGTACTATGAAGACCTGGCCAAGCATCTTTGAAGTAAATGGTCTCTCTTGTTAAAATGTAGTAGCCCCTAAAAGAAAATCTTGGCTGAGAGAGAAAATTTCAACATGAATTGTAGCCATCAACATGATGAAAATCCTCAAACACTAATCAGAGATGTTTTTGACTCACTCCTTGGGAGAAACTCAACTTTCCCAACAAATTGATGGCCCACTGTGTATTTTGCAGCAAATACTGGAGGCCCACAGGAGAATCTGACTTTATCATAACCATAGTGTTTTGTTGTTGTTGTATAAGTTTAAGGTGTACAACATGATGTTTTGATAGCTGTAGTCTTCATGTTATAATAATTTGTAACCTTACCCTACTGAAAAATATGAATGGTTCAGTTTGCTGAAGATGAGAGAAGTAAGCTAACTTGTGTTGCATAGCTATTCTGGACCAAGGACATTATATTTTTATTTAATTCAATTCTCTCAGTCATTCTATGAGGAAGACACAATTATCTACATTCTATGGCTAAGGTAACCAAGGCTCACAAGATTTAAGTGGCTTTCTCAGTATTATACAATAGGCCCAGAACAGATTAAGGAGTGGGATACATGGATATTTTCTATGTTTCTGTAACTGACATTAAAACATTTGGAAAATTTCTTGACAGTTAATCTAGGAATTCACATTAGATACCCAACCATCATTTGAGATATGTAATTAGTCCTCTAGGGCTGAAGGAGAGAAAAACAAAAGCAAGAATATAACATTCCTCATTGGTGTTGATCCTATCCCGAAGGGGTAAATGCTGATCAAACATTAAAAGAATGTTTTTGTTTTTAAATTAGGACTGGATTTTTAGTTTTACAAAAAACAAAAAACAAAAAAAACTCCCCTGTGTCAATCAGGCACAGTTATATAGTGTCGTCGGTTGTTTCCCAGGAGAAGGACACTGCAATGAAGTTAAAGGGCAGATAATTTATTAGAGCATATTCTCAGGACCAACTCCTATAGACAAAAAGGAAGAAAGCAGAATTGTGCCAAGGGAGAGAGTAGGCTGTGGTAAAGATTCAACAAGGGTTTTAACCAACCCCAAGTGAAACGTTGGATCTGGGCCATTCAGAGTTGTTTTGACTTGAGCTGCGATGGCCAGGTCTTTATTCAAGCAAGTAAACCAGCCATTGAATGATGTGGGTCAGCTGCCTTAGGATGGTGTGTGACCATGTTCAAAGGAGTACTGAGGGATCACCGAGAGTAATTTCTGGAGATAGCTGACAGCTTAAGGCCACTAGCTGACAGACTCCCAGCCATTGGGAGAAAATGTTCCTCATCCCTAAATAAAGTTCTAAGTGGATCATCAAATACATTTAATGATTAAGCTAGTCTTTAAAATCAGACCGATCTAGTTCTAAGCACATGCTTTGTCTCATATTATTGTGCCTGTGTGAATGCACACAGGGAACACTGTTTATGACTACTACCAAAGTTTTAACCTCTCTAATCAGACTTCAGAGTATATTAAAGAACAAAACATATGGGACTGGTTGCTCTAGTATATGTTTGGTTTGGCTGCAACAATTGTGAACTAGACGTGTGAAGGGGCAGGCTATAGCATAATTTTTCCCCCCTACTCTCCAGATATAGCAAAGTGATTCAGAGAAAGCACTCTGAGAAGAGTCACATGGAGATGTACACCAAGGCTGTGTTGCAGGCCCTGGAACCTGCCCTAATCCCTGGGAAGTACTCTACAGGAAAATAACTTGGTTCATAGTAAACTCCCTCTAGCCCTTGTTTCCCATCTTGAAAGAGGTATTTGCAGCTTTGCAATAAAATATAGTAAATGATGATGGATGTTTGCATTTATTTCCCTCCAAGACGTGTCAGACAGTCAAAGATTCATTATAGGTAAGCCAGGTAAGTTAATAGTGATCCTTGAATGTTTCATCTGACCAATGAAGAGTAACTCAAAGCAGGGAGCCAAAAATTATCCAAACTATAATATTGGAGTCTTTACAAGCCCAACTTGAGACAAGGACTCAGATGCAGGTCGATTTTTTGGAGAGGTAATTCCAGGAATCAGGAAGGAAAGAGAAAGGAGAATGAGACAGGGAAAGAGCTTTTAAAACTGTCTGTTATTTGAACTGGTTATTGCAGTAGCCAACTGGAGTGCAATCCTACTAAGGACTTTTGAGAAAACTTGCAGAATGCACTTCAAAATTACCTTATGAAAAGGTGGGTGGTTGAAACATTTTTCTAGTGACTCCAATCTCCCATTGTATAATGGTCTCCCCTGGGAAGATTAATTCTCCCACATTTTATGAGTAAGCTCCCTTGGTTTTTGAGAAAGTGTTGAGTAATAACATTGGAGAGTCCAGGTGGGAAACTGTCAGTCTGAATAAGAGCTGTCCACCACACCTGCTGCTGAAATACTCTTGTGCTGTGGGATTGTGGCATAAGACACCAAAGGTGTCTGCTATGGTTGTCCAGGTAGTTATCGAGATGGCTTTTGAGGAATTAGCTCTCACAAGAGCAAGAGTGGAGAGGTGATCACCTTGATTGTCAAGCTCTTCAACATTTCTGCTCTCTGGTGTTCATAGAAACTTTTTTCTCCTGATACTGAAAAATATTTGCACCCTTAGGAATTGTTTTTCTAGTACATTTCTAGGTTTCTTACATTTAGTCCTGGCTCAATTCTCCAAGATACAGGAGCAATTTACCCTTACTGGGCCTCCCTTCTTGCCCTGAGTAAATATCTGTGCCAATGCCTGCTGAGAGGAACATAGGTAAGGAGATGTGTGAGTAAACAGTATTTGCAAAGCTGGAGTAATTTCTCCTAATTATATATGTTTTAATTAATTGACCTGATCAGTGTTTACTAAAAGAACTAGTTATCAATAAAAATGTCATTTTAGTGACCTTTATTTTGTCTGCTGAAGTCTGTTTTGAGTATTGAGAAGCACCTCTTGAGTTAGCCTTCAGCACTAACTAACTTTGTTATTTTTTTGTGTTTCTGTA